CATGTTAGGGAAATAGTTTGTGGTTTGAACATCATTTTGGAAAACTTCTTTGGGTAAGTTAACTTAAAGTATCCATAGACATACTGTTGCTCACGTTTGTGATTGTCACAAGTCATGCCTACTGTACTGAAAAGAGATATGACAAAATTTCCATGGGTTCATGTGGTAACACATCTTTGCAAGGAGAATGGTAGAATATTTTTTTATGCAAATGTTTGCCTTAATTAAAGTTAACTTCTTCCTAAGAACAACTTGGACCATTTGTTCACTAATACCTTACTTTTGGTATTTCTATTTTATTATTTTCCTAGATCCTGGAGTTTTATCCTGTTTTGTTTTCTTTTTCAGCACAGGCTCTGAACCAGCTAGGAGAAGGTATAAGTTCTGGTGTGAAGTACTAGCTGTGATGCTTTGGGCACAGAACTGAACTCCTCTAAGCCTTATTTCCTCCACTGGGAAAATGGCAAGAATAATCTCAGCAGAATTATAGAGTCCACACGAAGTTTAAGTCAATGTATGTGGAATTCCCAGCACAATGCCTTGCTCAAGGAAAGAAGTCCTTAATAATCTAGTTAGGTGGGTGGGGCAAACATGAAGACACAGAAAGATATGAATAGATTAAGTGAGACACTTGCTTAAGGTCACATAGTTACAGAACTGCAGCCATTTCCATTTCAGTATTTTTATATTTTTACTACACTGCTTTGCTTTCTTAATTAAATTCATATGTGTATATGTAGCTGTTGACTTTGAAATGTGACAAACATCACATTGTGCCAACAAATGTAATTACTGGGCATGTACATTGCATCAGGCACCGTGGGAGGCTGTGTAGCTTTAACAATGGCTTCACTTACAATGTCAAAGTCCTGCATGCACACCCAGGTGCCCACACGAGTGAGCACGTGCACACATGTACCTACATTCAGAATGTGCCCTCTCAAAGGAAAGCTTGGACTCTGCACGTATCTTGCTTCAAGTTGGTTATGACTCAGTTACAACTCTTGGGTGTTTACTGAAAACTTGTTTCCTAGTTAGTAAATAAGAAAAATAAAAGTACTTGACTTGAAGAGTTATTAAGGTTAATTAGGATAGGACACAGAGCCTGGTACCAGTAAATGCTATTTTTTTTTTCTTTTCTTCTTTTTTTTTTTTTTAACTTTTGTTATAAAGTTCATGAGCTTGCCAGAGAAAGAGAAATCACCTCCCAGGGGGATAACCATGGTGCAATCCCTTCTTCTCCACTCTTTTCTTGGGATTTTGGGCATGTACACACACACACCAGATGTGATTCTCAAGTCACTGGTTTGGGTGGGATCTAGTGCCTTAACCTCCATGCAACTTGCCGACCCATGCACAAATAAATTGCTAATAAATATTATCTAATGCCCTCATTATTGTTTTTGTTGGGTGCTGATACAGGAAATCAGAGGGGAAAAATTTAAGTCATCCTTCACCAGTCAGGCTATAAGTTAGCTCAATTTTTCCATAACTATTTAGAGTGTTATGACTACCTGCCTTGATCATTCTTACTTATTGTGTGTTTTCCTCAATTATAACTACATTACACAGTGGAGGGACGTGGGATAGTGGGTACCTAGCAAGCATTGTGCTGAAAGTCTACGATTAAATGAAAACAATGGAGAGGTGAAGAGCAATGGATGAGAAAGATGAAGGAAACAACCTGAGTGAGCAAAGACAGAGGGGATGGTTTCATTACTGATTTCTCACATGAAATCACGGGTACATCACCAATCAGCATTTGTTAAAAAGTAGTTGCCCAGAGGAAGTCAGCTTGAGAAGTCATAAATAATTCGGATAGAACACAATTGAGTAAGTGCCTTTCTCTTCACTGGCGACTGGTATAACTTGTATTAACACACCTGTCTTTGATCTGATGCAACAGCTTCCATACCCCTAAGCTTTGTTGCTGTAACAGCCCTGTCACTGAAGTTCTGGTTTCCAATACCCTTGTTTCACTCTAGAACTGGAGGTCAGAGTCGTCATTCATCGAATTCAGTGTAGATGATTTCAAAGATAGTATCTGTGTGAACAAAGAAAACTGCCATATCCTATGATGAGCATATTAAATGAATGTATTATGTGAAACAAGTGCAATGGTGACTACCATGTGGCAACAGCTCATAAATGTTCCCTGTTGTTGTCATCATCTCTTTATTCAAAAGGGTTTTCAGGCTGGCTCCATGGCCTGGTGGTTAAGGCAGCTGGAACTCACATGGACCAATACATGTTTTGAGTCATGGACCTGGAAGTTTGAGAAAAACTCCAGGCACTTGTGTGTGTGTGTGTGCCTATGTGCCCAGAAAACCAAAGAGGGAGAAATGGAGGAGAAGAGATTGTGTCACAACCATTTCCCATAGTGTTTTCTACTCATCATCTCTTCTCTCTCTCTCTCTGGCAAGTGCACCCGCCACCTTCTAGCCAAAACAAAACAAAACAAAACAAAAAAAGTATCAAGCACTTGTACCTATTGTGTGTCTGTAACTGCTCCAGCCACAAGGTACACAAAGGTGAACTACATAGACTATATCGCTGCTTTCATGGAGCTTAGTGGGAAATGAGTTTGGGGGCAAGATCAAAAAATAAAGTTCCGTTTGCTGAGTGGATTAGGGAATGACTGTGGTGTGGGTGGCCCATGTAACAGGTCTTGGGGAGGACAGACCTTGTTGACCCTGTTGCTTCAGTATCTTGTGAAGAGCATAGTGAGCACCTGGTTTATGCTGGTTGATTAAACAAGTGAGAAGGGGCCCGGTTAAATCCAGGCACTGCAGGCTCTAGGTTTCTGCTCTGTGTGTAGATACGATGTTAGCTCTGCAACTTGAGGACACTGTGTATGTGGCAAAGGCTGGGTAGTTTATATAGGTGGGTGGATGCCAGGAAGAGGGCCAGGTTAAGATGGCATGTGTACCAGGTTAATGTCCTTGTGTGAGGTAACTTGGTGGGCAAACTCTAGTTGCACATTTGAGAGGTAAATCTGGGCTTCTGACTGAGGTAAACCTGGGCTCCAGTCAGTGTGTGAGGTGTAAGCCTGGGGTTTGTTGTATGAGGGACAGGGCATTCATTAAAAATATCCTGCACGGCAGAATTTAGCAACGTGTGCACATCCCTTCTCTGTAATGTAGTTTGCATGGGAGGCAAATTAAGGGTGGATAAAAGCAAAATCTAGAATAGCGTACATGAGGTAAGAATGGGTTTATGGGGGTTGACTATATAGGCTTTTGTGATTGTCAGCGACGTAAGAGGGCTTCCGTGTGTGTGGGCCCGCGCTGTGAGTGTGCAAACCAGTTCAGGAGTATGTCACGTGAAGGTGCAGGTTTGTGAGCAGAGTCTAGAACTCCGTGTAACTGTGCGGCAGTTCAAAGACCGCGATGAGGCAAGGGTGGGGTTAGGGCTAGGCCTGTGAGTCTGAGGTAACTGAGTGTGTGTTTGTACCTTTGGTTTTGAGCTGGGCGCACTTGGGCCGGCTGGGGTCTTGGGCAGGACTGGGTCAGGAAGACTTGTCTGTGAGGCGAACTCGGGATAGTGTGGGTAACGCAGGCTTTGTGCACCCGGGAGGGCGGCAGGTTCCTGAGGAGGCCATTTCTAAGACGTCCGAAGTGCATGGAAGTGTGCGAAGCCAGTCCGGAGGTGGTCGCGTGAGTGGGAAGTGTGTGCACGTGTGTGCGTGCGCGCGCTCCAAGTTTGGCGGTGGCGGTGTGCCGGGCAGCAGCGCGGCGGCAGCCTGGGAGGCCGCGCGGGCTGGGGGCGTGAGGAGGTGC